AATCCACACAACTGGACCAGTAAGGAACACCATGATAAAGAGAGAAAAGATTGAAGTTGTCAAGGATTTCATTTTATTCGGATCCACAATCAATACCCATGGAAGCAGCAGTCAAGAAATTAACAGTGCACTGCATTGGACAAATCTGCTGCAAAAAATCTCTTTAAAGTATTGAAAAGTAAAGCTGTCACTTTGAGGACTAAGGTATGTCTGACCCAAACCATGATATTTTCAGTCACCTCATATGCATGCAAAAGCTGGGCGCTGAATAAAGAAAACCGAAGCAGAATTGATGCCTTTGAATTATGGTGTTTAATGAAGAATATTGAATATACCATGGCCTGCCAGAAGAATGAACAAGTCTGCCTAGAAAGAAGTACAGCCAGAGTGCTCCTTAGAAGCAAGCATGTAGAGACTTCGTCTCACATACTTTGGACGTGTTATCAGGACGGATCAGTCCCTGGAGAAGGACATCATGCTTGGTAAGGTAGAGGGTCAGCAAAAAAGAGGAAGACCTTCGACGAGATGAATTGACACAGTGGCTGGAACAATGGGCTCAAACATAATAACAGTTGTGAGGATGGCACAGGACTGGGCAGTGTTTCATTCTGTTGTACATAGGGTTTCGTTATGAGTAGGAGACAACTTGATGGCACATAACAACAACAACATGGATTAGAAAGTGAATATATCTTTGGGGGACATTTTTTCAACCCAATCACATGTCTTTCTGTTAGAGAACTGATATTAAATCTGTAAGAACTACAAGTGTGAAGAATACCCCTTCCTGTTGTGCAGTGCACTATCCCTCATTACTTCTATATTGGAAATATTATTTGTAGAACAACATCAAATGTTCAAGACTTCTCATTACACCAGAGCAGGATGTAGAATAAATCAGCAACATGAGAAAGAAGGTGAGAATTCAGATTAGAGCAAGGAGAGACAGCCCTTGCAACCCAGGCATAGCTTCATTAGAAGGGACAGTGAACTCATCCTGTGCCTAAAATACTTAAAGTTACGTGATATATTAGAAATCGTAAAAAAAAAGTCTAATCTTTTTAGGAATATAAATCAAATACATCTGAATCTAGTTCAAGAATATTTTTTCTTTGAAAAATTACTACTGTAAAATGAGAATACTATATGAATCTATATTTTATAGTGATTCTTTAAAAACTGGAGTGAGAGGCTTGTACTTACAGAGCAGTGCCTGAGCTGCTCATTAGCAATCTATTGCTGAGTAAAAGCCTACTCCCAAACTTAGCAGCTTAAAACCACAAGCATTTATTATTTTTCAGTTTCTGTGGGTCAGGAATTTGGAAAAGCTTAGCTGGGTGGCTCTGGCTCAGGGTCTCTCATAAGGTTGCAATTAAGTTGTTGGCTGGGGCTGTAGTCATTTGAAGGCTTGACGCTGGCGGGGGGTCCTCTGCACAATGGCTCACTCACCTGGCTGTCGGCAGGCAGCTGCTTCTGTTCCTTACCACATGGGCCTCCCCACAAGTCTGTTTTTTAAATGACCTTATGACATGGCATCTGCCTTCCATCATAGGGAGTAATCCAAGAGAAGGCAGAAAAAAATCTGTAATACCTTTTGTGACCTACCCTCAAAAGTCACACCATATTCTATTTGTTAGAAGCAAGGGCACTAAGTCCAGCCTATACTCAACCCTTCCCCCCAAAAAACAAACTTGCTGTCACTGAGTCAATTCTGACTCATAGTGACCCTGTATGGCAGAGTAGAACTGCCCCAGAGGGTTTCCAAAGCTGTAATCTTTGCAGAAGAAGACATCCACATCTTTCTCCTGAGGAACGGCTGGTGGGTTCGAACTGCTGAGCTTCTGCTTAGCAGCTGAGCGCTTAACCACTGCGCCACCAGGGCTTCATACTCAAGGGGGGAGGAATTAGGTTCTACTTTTCAACAAGCGGAGTGTCAGATAAATCTTGGACATATTTTAAAACCTCCACTTTTGAAAAATGCAGTCATCTTTTCCATATGCACTTGTCTGGCATGGCAGTAAGTAAATACCCCAAAAAACAGAAATCCACTACAAAAACGTGAAAAAATATTTACATAGACCCATCAAAAAACAATTCAGAGAAAAATAATGACATACTAGATACTTTCAGTTATGTGATACCTTAGAAATTTTAAGATAAACGCTTAATCTCTTTAGGAATATAAATCAAATATATCTGAATCTAGATCATGAATTTTTTTCTTGAAAAATTACTACTGTAAAACAAGAAAACTATGTGAATCTATATTTTATAATAAATCTTTAAAAAACTCAAGGGTGGGGAGTTTGTGAAACCGGCCCTGACATAAAAGTAGCCATCAAGGTTTTAGCGGTAAAAACAGAGTAGCGTTGGTCATTCTGTTCCTTCCTTTTACTTATAGGATCCCACACTAGAGACAAGAAGATGTTTGTGATTGCTACTGTCAATGAATGTTACAGTATTGTTTTTAGTAACCAAGAGCTTATGATCATAAAATGAAGCTCTCTGTGGCATTTCAAAGATCTCCTCATGCTGTGTGTCTGCTTTTAGGTCCTGCATTGCCAAGGAATGGTTCAGTAGTTCTCAGAGAAATGAGCATTCTAGCTCTCTGAGCACTGGAATAGCTGAACTCACAACCAGCTTGATAACTAAATAGATGGATTGGTACATGGTGACAAAAACAATATTGTTTTGTGGAGTGAAAATCATAAGCCAATATATCTCATAAACATGTTCTTAAAATATTCCTTTAAAGATATCCACAGGTCAGCATTGTTCATCACTAAATGCTTTCCAGGCATGTGAAAAACTGATTCATGAATGTCAACTTGCAGGACACTGAGCATAGCATCAGGAAATAATCTTGTGAGTAATTATCACACATAAAATACTTCCTGTCTCAAAAATGTCAGTTTCACTGAAGAAAATTACTCATGCTACTCTGCACCTGCCTGTTTAGGCCTGCTCATTGTAGTTCATGTATTGCAGGACTAGCATATTAAGAAGCTAAAAACACTTAAGGGCAAAAGTTTCTCTATTGCCTCATCCATCAGTGAGTTTGATCTACACAGGTATGCTTAGGCAGTGGTGCGGGTGCAGGCTGGGTACCCACTAGGGCAGTCAAAAGCCTGAATTCTCTTCTGTGAGGGCCTCTCTGCAGGGCTGTTTGAGCTTCCTCACAGGATGAGGGCTGAGTTCCAAGAAGGTGTGATCCAAAAAGTGAAGGTGGAAGATGCAGATCTTGGAAGTTAGAGTGTTGCTTCAGCTGCATTCTATTACTCACACATGTAACAGGACCAGCCCAGCAAGGAGTGGAAATAAACTCAACTTCTTGATGTAGGAGTGTCAAGATTTTTGTAAACTCGATGGTTGAGATGAGTGTTAGAAGACAATTCCCGCTAGACTCTTCATATTCCTGCTCAGTCCAGTTCCTCTGAGCAAAGGCATTTATAAAATCTTTGTATAAGGAGACATTCCAGGGAGGTAAAACTTAAAGAAACAGTCCTCTCCTCAGAGATGCCTGAGTGTAGTAAAAGTATAGACCTTTCCATCCCCTCTCTAGAAGAGATGTGCTTATAATCCAGGGTAATAAACCTAGAGACACCTTCCCCCTGTGCCCCAGAGGCATTTGCTTACATTCCAGAGTAAAGATGTCTGCTCAAAGGGAGAAACGGGCAGGTCATCAGCAGCCCTATATAAGATCAGAATTTCCTAATTTCAGGGTTTCTGTCCTTTAATGCACAGCACTGTAAGTGCAGGTACCATCTGGCCCTCACCACATCAGCCTGTAGGAACTGGGGCTTGGGCAACCAATGCAAAATATTGTTCTGGCGGTAGCTTTTGCCATGAAAAATAAATGGTTTTGTGCTTCCTGCAAGTAAGGTAAAATCTCAGACCCTTTATAGTTTCTGACTTAACAAGGGGCGATATTATTGTGACCATATTATTGGAAATACAATCTACTGTACTCAGGAAAAAGAACATCAGCATTAGCAGCAGGAAACCCAGGGAATAGGATATGAGAAGCCATTCTGAGTGATCTAAGTGGGTAAGTGATCCCAAGTGGGAACCTATCAGTAAGAAACACATCTAAGGAATAGATTAATTTTGGAAAGAGAAGCTACTAGGAGGTATTCTTAGAATGCAACATATTTTCATAAAGGAGAAAAATTGATTATTCCTTGGAATCTCTAATATGAAGGCTACATTTTGATTAAATGGAAGAGGTTAGTATCTCTGACACATCCTAGAGGCTATTTGCACAGTACAGTTTCTAACAACGTATAGCAAAGTTACACTAATACATAAAGCAGGCCAATTTTGTTTAAATAGTGAATGTCTAAATTTCAAGAAATGCTGGAGGTTTGAATATACAGTCAAAGAGCTTCAGTCATCAGTTTACTCATTTATTAATTCTTACAGTCATGGCTTCATATTAAACATCAAATAAAAAGCATCTAGTTTTTCTTTGCCTAGTGTTTTCTTTGCACCTTTATTATGACACTAGCTACAAACAACCATTATTAGAATGGCATATGTTTGTCTGCTTCATTAGATTATGAATCTCTGAATATCAGGGATAATGTCATAGTTATGTCTATGATACCCAATTATTTAACAAAGTGTTTTGAAGACAAGAGGCACTCAATTGTGTATTTAATAGAATTGACTTAATTTCTTAAATGGTTACACTGCTCAAGAGCTACAAATGCCGCTTTTTATGAACCATTAATGTTAATTGCCTACATTTTATTCTTTGATTAAGTAATACCAAACAATTTTTTTCCATGGTGTGCTGTTTTACATAATGACATTGTCTGCCCAGATTTAAAGCTTGTCATCTATTGATCATTTGTATGAATGGAGATAGTAAATTATTTAAATGGTCTAACATTGGCCTAAAGCCATCTGAAAAAGAAGAAACAAAACTATAAATTAAACAGGGTCAGAAATCTTCCTTCCTCCAGCTCCTAGACCTGCCACAGCTCCATGCACTTTACCAGACGATTTTACCATATCTGTCTGTCTTCTCTCCAGCTGGGTCAATTGTGCCATCTGGGCGCAGGCAGACAAACCCCCCAGTAAGCTTGTTGTAGAACTGATGAGTATTTCCATTCATAAACTTCCAGCTTTCTGCAGCTCACTGAGAGAAAACAAAACAAACAAAAACATCAGCATAAGAAGACACAAAGAAAAAAATTACAAAGAAATATCCCTTATTACACATAGGCTATTTTGCTTTAACACATCAAATAGCTACTAGAACATTTTTTTGTACTGATTAATTTAAGGCCAAAAGCAAAGTCTTACTGCTTCTTTTCTCTGAAGTTCTAACTTCTGCCCTGAGGAGATAGAGAAAAGAGAGGATGATTATTTCAACAGTGTTAAGCCTTCTTCAATCAGTTTTTCCCAGTAAAACAGAATTTCCCAAGATGTGTGTACACGCCACTGGCTCCCAGAGAAGATGCTGTCCTCCCTGGCATACAGCTCTCTGGCAATTTTGCCATCATCTTCCCCTTGATCCAGTCGTCTGTGTAAATGAAAGAGTATCAATTATATTTAGGCTTTATATTTACATGAACCATTGGCTCTTATCTACTCAAGTCAGAAGTAATGGGAAGCAGAAATCAGGAAAAGCACTGCGGAATAGAGAATGCAAAAGGAAATGCCAGAGATCAGAGATGACTGTGAAAGTGTAAGGAGTAGAGGGAGAAGTCGCTACCTGGTAAAAATTAAATGTTATTCCCAAATCCACAGGTCAGTTACTTGTCAGCTAGCTTGTCATGTGAAAGAGGCCAGGATCATATATTTTACATTCACTGGACCAGTTATTTTATTCTGTTCTTCGGCAACCAACTACAGTTCAGACTTCATCCAGTTATTTCATAAATGGCTACTATTGGTTCGATGAGGAAAGAAGCTGGACAGTGTTGAAAGAAAGAGTAAATTTATCACACTACTGGGAAAATAACTCAAAAGCCAAGGCCTATTGACAATGGGTCAGCAATGTCATTGTGCAACATTTATTTTGAACGTTTATTATTTTTGAAACAATTTGGGAGCTAGTCCAAAGGTAAAAAGCTTTTTACATAGACTTTCATTCTCCTAATTGATATGTAAAGAAAGAGAAATCATGCAAGGAAAAAAAAAAAAACTATCTTCATTTACCAAGAAAGATTTAAATTTCCATCACCAGGAATGACGATAAACATAGCAGATATCTTTCTCAAAAGAAGCAGTCCCTAAAATGAATATTCACAAAAGTTTACCAACAAAGCATCACCAACCTTATAACAACTGAATAAGCACTCCAGTTCTCAAAAATACATGAATTTGGAACTGACTAATATGAAATTAATGTGCTCAATGTAAGAGCACACCTACAAACCTGCGACAGGAGAAGGCATATTCATGGTTTGTCGTGGGATCTTTGATCACAATATCATCAAGAAATCAGTCATTTCCTAAACACAAACTAAAGAAAGGAAAATGTGGTATGAATATATATGGTCCATGTATTGTTTCAAGTTCTGAGAACCAGGTTCTAGTCTCCAAATACATGTAAAGTCCTTGTGCAACTTGAAGCTTTAAAACATCAAATAAAGTAAAATATAACAGAAGTAAACTGTAAGAAGCATTTTAAAAATATTTCATATACTTGTAACGAAAGCACAGCATTATTTGAAGGTTTTCTGTTTTGTGATATCTATTTCAGTTTGATTTTCCAAACAGTTGAAAACAGAACAATTCGGGACTTGCTATTTCGTAAACAGCATTCATCATCCTGGATCTAACCTCTCGCAAAGAATACATATTTTATGAGTTAGCAATACTTTTTATTTCTAAAACAAACATATAGAAAGTTATTAAAGTCCAAATTTGGACCAAGTCTGTATAAACAAAATACGTATGTCTTTATAGGTTAAAACTCAGCAGTCATTCAGAAATCCTTCCAAGCATACAAACTGAGATAGCATTCATGAAGGTAGTAATCTCTTTTTCAAAGTTTAATTTTATATCAATTTGCAAGCTGGAGTTCATTAAAATACAATTCTATTTTATTTTAGTTATAGATAAAATGGAATGTTTTAATTTATCAGAGTTGTTTTATCAACACAAAAAGCTGGCTCAAAATAGATCCTTCCCCAATTAAAAATCCTTGAGAAGATACTTGTGAGCTCTAGGATTAAACTCTTTAACAAAGCATGAAAGGAACTTCATTCCCTGATCTCTGTTTACTCATCAGCTTCATTTCTCATCACATACTCCTACAATTAAGCCATGCAAAACTTCTCACAGTTTCCTAGATCCATGCTTCTCAAACTTTAGCGTGCATCAAAATCATCACCCCCATTGTTTCTGACTCAGTAAAACTGGAACAGGCAGCACAGGGTGAATAATTGGTCCAGTTTGTTTCAGATTGAGGGATTTCCTGGGATGCGGGATTTTTAAGTGCTAAAACTTAAAACCAACAGGACAGTTGGTCATTGTAGATAAACCTCAAGAATTTGTATTTCTAACAAGTCCCCAGGTGATGCTGATGGCCCATGGATCACACTTTAAAACAACTTCCAGAAATGATTTATATCCATGTTTCCATGCTTTGCACATGCCATTTCTTCTGCCTGAAATGTCACCCACAAAATGCTTTTGTTTTATTCAATTTTATTTTTAAATGCTCAGGAAAAAAAGGAAGAAGAAGTTGCTTATCTCCTTTAGAGAAATATAAGATGTTACTAGAATCTGAAATGGATTTTAAGAGCTGCTGAGGAGTCTGTAAAAATAATAGTCTTAGAGGTAATGAAGTACTGATTAAAAAAAAACTTTGTAAGTTGATAAGTTAGTTTAAAAGTATTGATGTAAAAATGTAGATCAAACATATTGTCTACATCCCTTTTATATGTTTTTCCCATTAGTAAGAGAGACCCAGGACTGAATTTAGAATGAGAAAAGATGAATTCCTAAAGAAAGCCAGATTGTCCCTATAGGGATTAGATAGTAAGAGTAGGAGTTAAAGAGCTATATAAAGTTCTATTGAAATGTGTTACTTTCTTACACAATACATATAATAAGTAGTTTATATTATTGGAAACATTATTCATTCTGAATGTAATACTTATTTTTTATTCAAATTGGTTTTAGGAAAATGCCCAGAAAGTGTTAAAACCATATATTATTCCTGGGAGAATAAAAGTTAATTTGCTCTATATAGCTTCAATTTTTTTCTACAATAATACATGACATGCCCATATGTAATAAAACTTGGATCACACTGTGTAAAGAATTAGTGTCCTGCTGTGGAAGGGACAAGGCTATGTGCTCGCTACCCTGTTTCCTCTTTCTGCTTAAACGAGAGGGCTACTTTCTCAATCTCCCCTGCAATTACACAGAGAGCCATATGATTCAATTCTTGCAAATGGAATGTGAACAAAAGTCACTTGTAGGTCTAACCATTAAGACCATCCCACACAATCCGTGGGCAAACTCCACCCTGTGAGGTCACCTTGGTCATGTCCACATGGGCATAGGATGGATGGGCCTGACTCCTGATTCGTTGCTTGAAGAACAGCTGCCTAGGAGACATTCAGACTCCCATCAGACTGCTGTATGAACAAGTTAATCTTTGCTACTTACAGACCCTCAGGTTTTGGAGTGGTTTGTAACATCAGGTAGTGAGCCCTGGTGGTGCAGTTGTTAAAGCGCTGGGCTGTTAACCAAAAGGCCCGCAGCTGGAACTCACAAGCCGCCCCGTCAGTGAAAGATGTGGCAGTCTGCTTTGGTAAAGATTACAGACTTGGAAACCGTATGGGGCAGTCCTACTCTGTCCTGTAGGGTTGCTATGAGTCGGAAGGCAATAGATTTGGTTTGGGGTTTGTTACATCAACTAAATTAAAAACAAAAACAAAAACAAAACATTGCCTTCAAGTTGATTCCAACTCATAGCGAGGGTATAGGACAGAATAGAGCTGTCCCACGGGATTTCCAAGGCTATAATCTTTACCAAAGCAGACTGCCACATCTTTCTCCCACGGAGCCACTGGTGGGTTCCAGTTGCCAACCTTTAGGGTAGCAGCCCAGTGTTTAACCACTGTGCCACCAAGGCTCCTTGTAACAGAAGCTAGTGAGCATTAATTACTAAAACATGTATTTGCTTTGTTCACTTGACATTACATATGAGCATTACCCAGTTTTTTCTAAATACTCTTTTACAGCATGACTTTTAAAGATTATAGAATTTCAGTATATGAATGTGCTATTATATAATAAATTTCCTGTTTCAAGATAGGAAATATTTGCTATTATGCATAATATTACCAGAAACAATTTTTTATTGTGGTCTAACTGTATATTACAAAAAAATTTGCCATTTCAACAGTTTTTACATGTACAGTTCAGTAACATGACTTACATTCATCATATTGCACAACCATCACAACTATCCAAGTTTTTCCATCGCCTAATCAGAAGCTCAGTGCCCCCCTAAGCAATGACTCTCTTTTTCCCCCCTCTCTCATCCCTGTCTAATCTAGATATTTCATATAAGTGGGATCATACATATGTGTCCTTTTGTAACTGATTCATTTCACTTCCAAGGTTCATCCATGTTGTAGCATGTATCAGGGCTTCATTTCTTTTCATAGTAGAGTAATACTCCATTATATGTATGTACCACATTTTGTTTATCCATTTATCTGTTGATGGACATTTAGGTTGTTTCCAATATTAGGCTATCGTGAATAAGGTTGTAATGAACAAACATTGATGTACATGTATCTGTTTGTGTTCCTGCTTTCGATTCTTTTGAATATATACCTAAGACAATAGTTGCTGGATTGTTTGGTAATTCTATATTTAACCTTCTGAGGGTCCTCCAAACTGTTTTCCACAGCAGCTGTACCATTTTACAGTCCCCTATGCAACGGACGAAGGTTCCGGTTTCTTAATATTCTCACCAACCAGGAGCCTTGGTGGTATAGTGGTTAAGAGCTCAGGCTGCTAACCAAAGGTTTGGCAGTTCAAATCCACCAGCTGCTCCTTGGAAACCCTATGAGGCAGTTCTACCCTGTCCTGTAGGGTCACTGTAACTCCATGGCAATGTGTTCTTTTGGCCACTAACCACAAACAATTTTGAGCATAGATTTTATTTGTATCTCTCAATAGTTCTTTTGGGTAGCTTTCTAGAAGTAGAACTACTGAGTAAAACATTGAGGAACTTTTAAGGACATTTAAGTAAAATACCCTATCAGTAGTGCTTAAATAACTTAAAAGAAAAATTACTAATAGTATCATGGAATATTGTATTATTTGCCCACAATTCTTTCTTCCCTCTCTAACCCACTGACTTTGGGCTTGGCCACTTGATTTGATTTGGCCAGTGGAATGTTGCACTAAGGAAAGGGCAAAGTGGGCAAATCTCACCTTCTTTGTTAACTGGTGGTAAAAATCAGCATGAATCCAATCCCCAAAATATGGAGATGGATCCAGTCCTCACCTTCCCAAATCTCCATCCTCATTACCAGTCATCCAAACAGCACTCTCTCTCTGACCCTAGCCACCTGGAGCTGAGTCAGAGCTCACAAGTTAGAAGGACACCTTCCTTCAGAATGCCAAACAGGCAGACGCCAGCCCCTGCTGACTCTCACTGCCCTGTGGGTTCGATAACTTTCCGGAACAACTCACACAATCTCATGGAAAGCATACTATATTTTTTGTTGTTGTTAGCTGCCATTGAGTCGATTCTGACTCACGGAGACCTCTGTGTACAGAGTAGAACTGCTCCATAAAGTTTTCAAGGCCATGACCTTTTGGAAGCCAAGTGCTAGCCACAGCACCTCTCAGTGGGTTTGAACCACCAACTTTTCAGCTAGTAGTAAAGTGCTTAACCATTTGTGCCACCCAGAGACTTCTATACCATACTTACTACACACTTACTGCAACCAAAAATGATACAAATGAAGAGACACACAGAGTGAGGTCTGGGTGGGGTCCCAGCACAAAGATTTCATGTCTTAAAGGGGAATGCATGCATCACCAACCAGGAAGCCCATCTGAGCCTTAGGGCTCAACGCTATTATCAGCCTTCCCACACGGCCATGATAGATTACATCATGCCTCCTGAAGCTTAGTCAACATCAGGCCCCGGTGGTCCCCCTTGGTCTGGTCAGCCCCCATTCATTATCCTCAGGTGTAGACCAGTTCTCAGGAACCAAAACCAAAAGCCAAATTGCTTTTATGCCACCTCACAAATGTGGACAGAAATGACCATCTGCCAAGTTCCAGATAAGGCACTTAACCATGAAAAGAGCATATTTCACGTAGTCAGGAATAAAGACATCAAAGCCAAGAACCCAGCCAAGCTGAACTGAAACCAGTCAAGATGGCCAACATCAGCCAAAAGACAATGTGAACATGAATCAAATGTTTCTTGTAGCTAACTAATATTTGGGAGT